TGCTCATCTTAAAAGAAAAAAATAAAGGTAAGAGACCGAAATAAAAGCTCTATCTTCCTGATCTCTAACTAAAGAATATAACATTTGACTAGAACTCGAGGTACAAAGTTACCCTTCTATGCATCTTAAACGGTAAGTTTAATCTCCAATCCTTCTGTTTACGACTTAAAGGCCTCCCTTTTCTTGAAGGATCTCTATTGTCTTTTACATCTGCCAACTTCCACACACAATTCTCAGACTCTTTTTCAACAGAAACTAGCAGGAACACTCCTTCCTTTTCTAGGCAACTGGACTCTGCATCTTCTGCGTAGCAAACTCTCATAGGCATGTCTTTAAATCGATTCAGGTCCTCAGGAACTTTAAGCATCCTCTCAGCACCTGGGGATGATACCTGGAGAACAAAAAATCATGCTTTGTTTGGAATGAAATAAGCCTCAACGACATTATGCTTGACTTTCAGTTGCTATTGAATAAAATCCCATTATAACAAGAAATAGAATACGGCTTTGATGAATAACCTCAAGAGCTAAATTATCAGGTATTTCTCCAAGTGTCCCAACTTCTAATCTTTTTTTGTATTCTTGACTGTAGCTTTCAAGCTCTTCCATGCTTGGACACCCATATCTGTAGAAACAAGGTAAGTTGCACCGAACAAACTGTACAGATCAGGTACCCACCAGAAGAGAACAGCATCATAAGCTCACAGTTATATCATGCATCACTGATGACACAATTTGGTGAGCTCAAACTCTATCATTTAGCATATGGCATTCACACAGGGCAAATATCTAGCACAAGGAGGGTAAAGACAAAATGATAGGTGAAATTTATAAGAAAAATGGATGGAATTAAAAATGTGGCATAGAGCAGAGTTGGACATCATTATCTTAGGCTGGAGACAGCTGACTTGAATTTTGAATTTGATATTGATTGAGATTAAGGAAGCATAGAATGCTATGTTGCGATATTTAAGTGGATTGGTTCTCCCACCTCAACAACTAGATTTTGGGGGAAGGTTTACCTTCACACTTCATCAGATATTAAAAGAATCATTGAACAGAACTGATGTCAGCTTTCTTTAAGCGTATATGCTTATATCTGTTGTAAGAAAAAAACAACCTTCTTCATTATTGTGCCCACATTTTGCAAAAAGGTGAGAAAAATTTTCTGATGTTCTTGCCCCAAGCAAAAAACAAATGAAGTCTTACTTCTAGTAACATTATAATACGATACATTCTGCAAAAGAAAGGGTCAGATTTTGACATAACAAAATGCACAAATAAACTTCCGGATGTTGTATCTGACATAGGCTGAACCTTACTCATGAGTTAATTTGTCCAATCTCACATAAACATATCCACGAGGAGTGGTCTTGAAAGAGAATAGTTCCATGTCATCAGTGAACTTCATCAGGACCTCCTGAGCAATAGAGAGGGCACGTTGTCCCCAAGGGACACCTTGCAAATGAACTCCACCACCGTCACCCCCATCACCAACCTACAAAGAAAGACAACACTAACAATTATGTATAATTTAATTGTAAATTTGAAGCAGACATCTTATCACTGAAGAGACAACCGACAAGAATGCCTGCATTAAAATAACATGGTACCCTAGGCTCAGCTTCATCTTCTTCCTCCCATCCATCTGACATTTCACCTTCTTCACTGGCCTCACTTGCAAATTCTAAAATTCATGAACATGGATATTATAGTGAGATCTTATCAAGATACATCAACATGCTTGAAAAGTGAAAATAAACACCTAGTTATGTATGATATCAAATCTCTTGGAGTGACACAGAATAAATGCCATACAAGTAGCCAGCTAATTTTATAATGGACATTTTTAAGTGTAAGTAGCAATATTATTAAAGAACAAAGGAGTACCAAGAAGATGGCCAACAAATATCTTAAAGGATTTTGTGAGATAATGCTTTCCAATTGCTCTACATATTAATCAAGGATACTCGCTAGAAAGAAACCATGGGCATAACAACAGAAGGGAGCCATATAATAATCCTATTCATACAAGATTTAGAGACAAGCCTGGACTTTGAAACCTTGAAGGTATGACCATTTTATTCCAACCAAATTTAACACGGAATAGCATAAAGAGCACACTTCCATGAAAAGCATTTCTTTCCTACTCATGCCAAAGCCATTGAAAATAGTCAAAGAAACTGCTCCAAATTCTAGGGACAGACCTGAGGTTCAACCAAAATCGTAAATAACCACCCCCTCAAAAAAAAAAAAAAAAAAAAAACTGGATGAACTGCTTGGTGAGAGACCAAATAGAAAATTTCGAACTCATCCTTGAATAATGCATATGCATATGCATATTTGTAGAAAGCACCCTATGAGGTGATCAAAGTTCCAATATATATATATATATTTTACTCATGACTCATCAGTATCCTAATGTAAACCTTAAAGCTAGCTGTAGTATTGTTTGCAAATGAAATTATTTTTTTAAAAAATTCCGGCTACCATACTCTGGACTACTGGGGGAAAGAGCGGCAACTACTTTAATCCAATTAACCCACGAATCATATGGCACCCAAAATACCCAAATGCAACACAAAAAGCAACTTGAATAAACCGCAAAGTAAAGCAAAAAGAAGGGAGAGAGAGTCACGTTGGAATCGATCTTCTTCATCGGTGGAGTCATCATCATCCTCAGAGGATGCGGCTGTGTTAACAAACCGAAAAGTGGTACCGCAAAGTGAGACCTGTGGAAGCAAACGTGTGTTTTGGAAGGAAGGGAACTGAGGAGGACGGAACAGAGGGATTCCCTTTGATTTCAGAGACAAAAAAGACGAAGAAAGTGACAAAAGGGACCTCCGATTTCGTAGCAGAGCTTGTATAATCCTAATACTGCTCATGGCTTCTCGTATTTATTCTACTTGATTTTTTTACCTTTCACTACCCCAAGTGCAAATGCAGCACAACACTTCACAGACCAGAAACTCAATCTTTCTACTTAGGGCGGTGCTTCCTATTTGCGTTTTGGAATTTGCTGACATAGTATAGTCTTATAATACTCTTTTCGCATAAGCATGCATCAAGCCATTAATCCTTGTCTTCAACGTTTTTTCGGCCGCCAAAGAATATCCCGCCGTGCTCAGAACTAGGTAGGGACAGTGATTCAATTTGATAGCAAAAGGATTAAGTTTATTTTTACCCCCTAATTTTATATAAAATTTTAATTTTATCCCTTAATTTTTTTTTAACAAAAAATAGAACTTATATAAAAAAGATAACAAACTAAATACAATATTTCTTTCATTATATCTACCACTTTAACACAATAAAATGGAGGTTGATCAAATATAACAAAATACTTTGAAACATTGAGAGCTTATGTAACTAACAAGTGAGTACAGGTATTAACTTTTCTGTACATGAAATTCAAACTAATATTAAAATCCCTATACAAGAGTAATCTAGCTTGGTTCAATGCTGAACCAGATCATAACGAATTATCATATCAATTGCCTCTACATTGTTAGTGAAAATTTGGACATTATTGAAATTCTCATCCCAACATAATTGTAGGCCATAAATAATTCCAAACACTTCAATGTTGGCTGAGGGTTGTTACTTACGTTAGCATTAAAATCACAAATCCAAAACACATTATTCTCTCTAACTGCACCACCACACTTACCAACATCATCTTTGAAAGAGCCATACGGGTCTTATGCAACAATCAAAACTGTGTTTTATTGGTCTCCCCATCATGTAGGATTGCGTCAAAATAATCCCTGAACCCGTCTTGTCAATATCTTCATCAAAGAAGGCTTGCTTGCATCTTGAACATCATATTTCCCACAGTAAACATACCAAAGTGGAACATCCCAAGGAATGTGTTGGGGGAAATCTTTCCCAACCTCATTCCTTCAGTATTATTTGAGCCAATCCTCTCTCTCTATTCAGGCTTTTGAATCTAGTCCCAACCTCTAGCTTAAGTAGCTTGGCCCATCTCTTTTCAGCATGTGCACAGTCTCTATGCAAGTGAAGCACATCCTCCGTGTTCCTGCATCCTAAAGGGCAGAGATCTGTAGCTGCTAGCCCCCTCTTTGCACGAAGCTCTGCAGTATGTAGTCTATCCTCATGCAGTATCTCTTCAATTCTCTAACCTTAATATTATTAATCTCAAATGAATATTTTTGTATCAATTATTGTTTTTTTAAATTAAAATTAACATGTTAATATTTAAGAATATTATTTCAATATTTAAAATTGTGAAAACATAACTTTAGATTTTTGCACTTTGTTTGCATTTTACTATAGGTCCTTGCATTTTCTTTTTGTAATCTAGATCCCTATGCTTTTTTTTTTTTGTGTTTTAAGTTTCTCCAAGGTTCTTATATTTTATTTATTTAGAGACTTAAAACACCTAAAAATAAAAGTGTAAGAATCTAAAATAATTAAAAAATGTAGAAATTTATAACAAAATGTGAGTAAAATGCAGGGATTCAAAGTTATATTTTCCCTTCAAAATTTTGATGTTAGAATATTTGTTGATGAAACTAATAATATTTATAGGATTAAAAAGATTCTTTATAAAATTAAAAGAATAAAATAAATCTGTGTGTGAAAGTTAGAAGGGTAAAGTAACAAAAAGAAGGGTCCGTTTCTGTGTTTCAAACGTGCTTTTCCCAAAATCCCCAATTTGCATACAAAAGTAGCATTGGAAATCCACTAACCGTGAAAAGCAAAATGCATTAAGTTAAAGAAAAACAACCATGAACTGGAGTTATTAGTTATTACGCATTCCTTGAAAATAAGTTAGATTTGATATTGAATATTATATTATATTGTTTATTTTATTTTTTATTACTCATAAATATCTTCCTACTAAAAATAATTCTGTTTAAAATGTGGTTGGACACTTATTTCACATTTACTCTATTTAGTGATTAAAATCCTTGTTTTTGGTGATGTTTTTTGTATAAAAAGGGGTTATAAATACGCTTCTTCAACTCGATTGTGGGTGCTGCTCGTGTTATTACTCATGGCATCAATATTGCCTCCGGCGAAAAATAAAAAGAACAAAAGGAAGAGCAAAAACTTCATAAAATTTATCTTTAACAATTTTTTTATGAGTGTTTATGTAATTTATGTAATTTTTTCTTGTTTTGGGGGTGGGGGGGAGAGATTATCTTAACGCTAACAATTCACGTAATCAATTCATGTAAATATGATGATAGTTAACAATAGAGAAAACTATTGATTCAAAACCATGTGCATTGATTATGAGGCACGATTCAGAATTATTGACACGTAACATATTAAATTTTAATTTTCTCATTTTTTATATGTTTATCTTTTTATTTACTTATTTATGATTCATTCTTTTGAAGTAAATGAGTTTTTAATTTCTTCTACACTTTCATTGATATAATGTCAACAAACAAATTATACATTTAAGATTTTACTACAATAAAAATAACTCAGAAGCCAGTTAATATTAATATTTGAAAATTAAAACTTTTTATTACTAAATTACTAAAATGAGGAGAAAAAACAGTTAAAAACAAATCAACCATCTAACAAACTAACCCTAACCAACTAGCAGAACAAATTAAATAATTGAATCAAACTACTTTTACTGGGTGATGATTCAACCACTCTGACCATCCAAGTCTCAAAATACTGACCTCAAGACACCAACGAATCTGAATTAAATTTGCATATCAAGCTTCTGGCAAAAATTTTGATATTATGATTGTTTACAATCCAACTTCAGGCGTTAAAATCAGACCTCCTCTGCCTCTCCTTTGAGGCAAAGGTAAATTTAAATAATTCAAATTTAATTAATATTTTATTTTTTATTTCTAGTTTTAAAATAAAAATAGATAAAAATTATAAATTTTTTTAATATACTTATTAATCTAACAATTCAAATTTAATACAAATGATTCAAATTTAGTATAAAAAATTTAAATTAACTTTTTAAATATACTCTGAACAATGTAAATATATTCTGAACGAAACAATAAATTTATTAAAAAAATTTAATATTAAATTTAAATCATTTATAATTGATAAGCATATTTATTAAAATTTTTTATAATTTATATATATTTTTTATTTTAAAAATGTAAATAAAAAATAAAAAATAAATTTAAACTATTTAGATTAAAATTAAACCTCTACCTCAAAAAAGAGACAGAGAGGCTTCTCTCAAAGGAGAGAAGCAAGTCCGTTAAAATCTAATATAACTTTTGTTCTTTGCTTGGTTTTTTCAATGACCTTTGTAATTTCTGACCAAAATAAAAAAAACCTCTGCAATAAATAAAGACAAAATAAGTCATTTAGAGTGAAATATAGAAGTTATTTTTAAAACACATCTAAATCATTTTTAGCTAAAAAAATACATCTAAATCATCCAAATTAATTAAATATTCAAAAGCCGCACACGATGATATTATTTTTTTCTCATCCAAAATTGAGAATCCTGAATCTGAGTTATTGAAATGGAATATTTTCAAGTCTCATGGTTGATAAATATTTTAAATAAAATTCATCAAGCATTTGTCATGATGCATGAACTTGACTCTAGCAAGTCAGTCAATCATATGATTTTTAACTGAAAATTGGGTCTAACACCAAACACTTTCATCAGAGGATCTCAAAATTACTTACATGCTGAGTATTGTTTATCTGCTAATGGTAGAAAAGCTCCTTCAACCAAGCAAAATAGAAGCAACCACTGTGACTTGCGAGGTTCTCAAACGAAATTTCAATCCAGAGGAACACAATTTAGCTACACAAATATACAAACATGTGACACATCATAGCAAGATATAAGCAACTGCTACGACACACTATCTCACATAGTGAACCCCGCTTGTGCAAGAGCCACACTACTTATAAAGAAGAAGACATAAATGCCACAACTTGCTGGACCCACTAGAAACCCTATCTTCTAGGGTTTACTTCAAATTACATAGATTATAGCTGAAAGAAGAAGCAAAATTTTATATGGGGAACAACTACCTACAACTACAAGCGAAGAATAGTACGAAGAGTGTCACAGAGGTTTTGAATGGTCTGCTCCTCTTGGGTTGCTTGCAGCTCCTGCAGCGGCATATCTTCATAACACCTAATAAGGCATGGATATTGATGTCAAAAAGATTAATCACAAGCAGACAGAAACAGAATCCTATAAGCTATACATTCCTCTAGTGTTTATAGATTAAGTATATGACACGTCAGAATCCCCCATCGTTGGCAATGTTCTCCCCTTCATGACCCATAGAAGAGCTAAATGAAATAACCAGATACAGTAGATCTCTTGATGTTGACATAAAGAAATGAAGACAACCATGCAGATCATTAATTTATTTCTTAATATTTCTTAATCCTTAATTCCTTAATCTTAAAGAGATAGAAGATCCAACCACATGCCACCGTTGCTCAGTTTTGAGATTTTAGGAGAATTAAGAAGAATAAAACATACTTCCTTTGGATCACAATATAAGACATCTTCTAGAAGCCTTGCATGGTCCACGGTATATGACATTGAGTACCTTTTATAATTGTTTTTCCAACTATATCCACACTTCATTTATTATTATTTTTTTAAATGATGTACTGAAATTTCAATTGTTATTATTAAGGCACTTGTATAAGGGTATTGAATGAGAGTATAATTGGAAAGATGGATTTTTCTTTTGTTTTTTTTTTTAAAGAAATTAAGGTTTTGACTAACATTTTTGGAGAACCGTAAATTAGTTACCAATGCCCTATATTATGATCCAGAGGGAGTAAATCAAAACAATAATACAAATCATTGAGAAATAGGAACAGAAAATAACAGAATTAAATGAAGAGGTAACAATCAGGTTATGACCCTTATGGGATAGCATGTAAGGTCCATTCATATCGCCCACATTGCTCAAATAGGCGACTATAGTTTCTGTCACATAAGTGGCAGATTATTGCCAGGCGCAAGTGCAAGTTGGGGAAAAGAACATACATCTTGTGGTAAGCTAGAGCCTGTGCCAAATTCAGCAGAGTAGAACTCGATGTCAGTCT